ATTATTTTAATTTAAGTGAGAGTTGTGAGCTTTTCAAGGTATTAAACTTTTTTATTTTTAACCAAGCGTCATAAAAAAAGTTATAGTATTATTAATTTAATTTGAAGTATTTATTGAGAGAGCTTTTCAAAAGCATTAAAGTCTCGTTAAGTGAATTACATACAATTTATTTCAAGGGTATTAGCTTGAAGTAAGCCTTTGAAGCTGCCGCTGTTTGCTATGCGCCACACATACGCACACAAAGGCACAACACACAAACACACACTCACACATATATAAATGTATATAAATTTATATATATACATATAGAAGAAGAAGAAATAGTCTTACCTGCTTGGTCACAGATACAGCTGTCATGCTTTCTGCCATGCAACTGAACTTTTACCGCCCACCTGTGGTACACCTACGCCTCCATCCCATGTGTGTGTGTGTGCGTGTGTGTGTATTTGAGGCTGTCATTAAGCTGCGGTTGCCGCTGCCATTTGCAAATGTGTTTGCGATTGTCGTTGTTATCGTCGTTGTTGCTCTTGTTGCTGTTGCTGTTGCTGTTGTTGTTGTTGTTGTTGTTTCATGCTACTGCTAGTCAGCAGCTTTGACATGCTTCAAAGGAGTCGTGTCACACTCAGCAGTCGCTCTGCGTGTTTATGCGTGTACATGTGTGTGTGCAGCATGCAACAGCAGTTCCGCCTCTTTGTCGTCTAGGCTAGGCACTTTTGTTTGTTTGTCTATTGAAACTTTAAACAAGTTTCTCAGTTTGTTTGCTGCCATTGACAAGGCATAAAACAGAATGCAAAGCTCACATTACAGCCTGCCATCTGTCGCGCATTATAAGAAAGTATCTCTATCTCTCTCTCCCTCTATCTCTATATATATGTATATGTATGTAGCTTTAAATCTGTAACGGTTACAAGGTAAGCACACTGCATAGACATCTTAAAGAAGTTATGTTGTTTGTGGCACAAAAGTTTTTTACTGCCACACCTCAAGTTATTTCAACTGTAAAGTGCAACAAATTAAATTCACGAGAAATGCTGCTGCTGGTGGTGCTGATGCTGGTGGTGCTAGTGGTGGTGGTGCTAGTGGTGGTGCTTGTTGCTGCCGCTGTTGCCTAATGCCATTTGCAGCAACAAAAATTATGCAGACAAGTTGCAAATTGTCGTCGTTGCTTGGCATTAAATTGTTGCTTATCATGCGGCACAGCGCTGCGATGCGGCAACTGCTGTGCGAGTGCGACGAGACATGGCCAAGATTATGGAAATTTACCAACAACTTTTTCAGCTGGCGCATGTTGCAGTTGCAATAAGCAGTTGCCCCAACAACAACACCAGCAGCAACAATTTCAGCTAATGATATTAACCACTTTTTTTGTTGTTGCTGCCATTTCCTTTTCAGCTGTCGGTTTGCACTTAAAAACGTTCCGCAAATTGTAAAAACCCACGCGCGGTTTCATCCTCGTTGCTGTTGTTGTTGTTGTTGTTGTTGTTGTTGTTGCTGTTGCTGTTGCTGGCTGAAAACGTTTAGCAGTTGTTGTTCTTGTTGTTGTTCGCTTTCCTTTTGCTCGTGCTTTCTTTTTGTTGCTGTGTCATTTCAGATGTTGAGCATTTTTACAAGTTCATTCAATTAGAAGTTGTGCGTCAGTTTTTTTCCGTTGCACAATTTGTCTGCTTCGCGTTTTAACCCTCTTCCCCTTTTCCCTCTCTCTCTCTCTCACTCTTTCTCGCGCTTTCTCTCTCTGTGTTTTGCTTAATTTCTTTTTATGTTAATTTATCTACCCAACATTAAGTTTTCTTTTTTTCTTTCGCCTAATGTACTTAACTCTTTAATCACTTAAAAAAAAATAAATAAAATCATTTTATTGTAACTTGAACTACAAAACACTTTAGAGCCCTTCCATGCGATTCTCATGGCAAAATGAGCTTGGGGGACAATTAAAATCTTAAAATTTTCGAACTTATAGATATAAGAAAGATGATACTTTATATTATACCTATCAAAGTCATCTATCAATAATCGTCATCTATCAATAATCAGTAAGAGATTTTCCACCAAGAGCAAGAGTAGGAGGACACAAAATGTTGCCAGAGCAGACAGATATATGCATTACAATAGCAAACAATCTACTATATATTTACCTATAAATATATATGTTTGTCAATATTTATAGAAGTAAACGTAAATGAATACAAATATTACAAGATTTCAAACAAATTGCATACATTGAAGGCTTAAATATTGAAATAACCCATATGCAGCAATTAGCATTTGACTCAGCACACGGAATACATACATATGTATTCATGAAATGCAATATGCCATTTTTTCATTGCGATTATAAACTCGGATGAAGCTTTATTTGTGCTATACAAACCCATGCACACACACATACACACACACACGCACACCAAAGCTGGCAAATGCAAAACCTTTTCGTTGCGTTTTTCGCTATAAATTGTGCAGCATTTTTATGACAGTTTTCATCATTTTATCTGACGTTGTTTTTTTTTTTTATCGAAAATCGCACCCAAATGCTGCTGCCGGCAGCTGCTGGCTGCTGTTTACCTCACGCTCACACTCACTCACCATCAGCGTATCTGCGTGTCTCTATCTCTGTTTCTCTTTTGGCAGCTATGCGACGCATTCAGTGTCTACTTGTGACTGACATCAATGTGCCACAAATTGTTGATTTTCGTGATAACGTGACATTATCCTGCAGCTATGACATAAGTGGTCACACGTTAAATTCGGTTAAGTGGTACAAAAACGACGGCGAGTTTTTTAGGTAAGTACACAAAAACGCGCACACACACACGCGCAGAGAGAGAAGGAGATGGAGAGCGTCTGTGTGGCTGTGTGTGCGTTTATAATTTATGATATTTATTTTGTTATTTTTGCGAAGGCTGCGCAGCTGTCAAATGCATCAAGATCCGTGCCATAGCCATGGGCGTAACGCCCGCTCGCACTCGCCACCGGTTTCAGCCACACCCACACAGCCCACAGACACACACACACACACACACGCACACTCACACATACACAGCGAGAATTGCCACACAAATATGTTCATTGTCATGCGACTTTCTTGCCTAATGAATTATTAAATAAATTAATTTACGTTGGTTCGTTTATGCGATGGCAAATTAATTTAAATGTCCTACCATATGAAATACACTGTTGTGGTTGGCCCCATTTTGGGTTTATAGGCTTTTAGCCGTGCAGCCGAGCCGGCTCGACTCAACTCGACTCAACTCGGCTTGCTCGACAACAGCAGCCATCAGTCACTTGCGTATTTTAACCTTTGCACGTTCGTGGCAGCAGCCCTGACAGTGGCTGTAGCAGCAGCAGCAGCCAGACAGGCGACAACAAAGCCAACTAATTGCTATAGGAGCTGATATCTGTTCAGAAGCTGTGTCAGAGGCAAGCTGAAATGATTATTAAATGCCAATTTGACCTCAAGACGACTACTTCAAATAGTGAATATGCAATCAAGAGAGGGACACAGACATTAACATCATTATTAAATTGCCACACATAAATTATAATCATCATCATAATCATCGTCGGCCCGCCCAGATGGAAGTCAGTTACATGCATGCACATATGTATGTATGTATATGTATATGCACGTCTGCAAGTATTTGCACTGCAGCGTAATGAAAAATCTCAAGTGACTGCTTCGCGTTTTGCTTAATTAAAAATGAGAATGAGTAGCGCTTAGGTGCTTTGCACACACACAGACACAAATACACACATCTGACTGCAACCCCAAGTAAGTAATAAGGGGAGGGTCGACTGCTAAGCGAAAGTTTTAATTAGACAGCAGGAACAGCCGTTGTTGCAGCGGCAGCGCCAACAGCAGCAGCACATGAAAAGTCAACTCTGGCCAATTGCAATTTTACTTGCACTTGTAAAGCAACTGCAAATTAATGTAAACAAAAAACTTTAAAACGCTAAAACATGCGCAATATATATACAGTTTTATATATATATATAAATATATATGTATTTTGCAAACTTGATACACAAACAGCGCCAACATTGCCTCATAGCTAGAAATTTGCGCACTGCAAGCAAAGAAACTTTCAATTGGTGTCATTTTTATAATGGTGCATTTTTATAATGGTACCGACATTCGTCGGTATATAAATATTTGTCTTCCCCTTTTTGACTGCTGGTCAAATTCGTGTATTTACTTATGGCAGTTGGAGCGGCCATTCTTTGCAGCGCCAGCTACCTGTCACGCTTGCACTTATGAAGATCAACCGCGTCGCGCCTCTCTAATCAGCATTGATCGCAGGCTTGTACGCAACATACGGTTGTCTCGCTTGCTCAACTGCTTCATATTCTAAAAGCTCGTTCATTGGTCAATATCAATTTCTCTTTCGGAATAAAGTATATTTCTCTCCCTCTCTCGTACTTCTTTTAGTTGTCACTGTAAATCTTTTATATAATGTGCAAGGCGCCAATTAGAAGACAGAATCAGTTGAATCTACCRACAAATAAATAAATTGAAATACAATTAACTTTAGTTGGGATCTGCTATCCCGTGTAGTTTATTTTATCGAAGTATTTATTGGCTTTGCACATCAAATATGTGAAAAACTAAGTGGAAAATAGGCATTAAACACAACACACAGACCATAATAGCTGCCTCAAAGCCCATGTAACGAGCCGCGTCCACGAACCAAAAAAGGCAAACGCCAAGAGCAAGAAAGCCAGTTTATATTGCTTATCAAATTTGTTGATTTGCTGCCGCAGCAGCCGCCATCTAAGCCGCAAATAATTCGACCCATCCCCCCCCGCTCAAGGAGCCCATCAGCCTAGTCTATCGTCCTGCGTAGCAGCTTGCCCAGTCTCGGACAAGCAACAAACGCCAGCTTACGCCTATTAACAAGTAGCGCACAAAGCGACTTATCAACACCACAGCAGCCCACAAAAGTTGAGAGCATTTTTTTCGCTCTCTCTCTCTCTGTAATACCGAGTAGAGACAGCGAAGTGGGGCATAGTTAGCTAATCGAAATGTGACAGCAGCCAATGGACCCATACACACACCCATACACACAGACTGCAGAGTATTTGAGCGTCGAGCACACTCTAGCACATCGCACTTGTTTATTTATGTACTAAGGCCACTTTTGTTGCTCGGCGCTGAAGAAGTTTTCCACTTGAACACTTTTGTTGTAGATTTGTCTGCAGATAGATTCAATATATATTTGAGGGATTAATGAGCAACAATCTACAATACAAAAACGAATTGAAGAAATCACCCACACACACACACACTTATACACACAGAGCTGAGTGCATGTCCCGGCACTTGTGTGCGAAAAATCTCCATTTCCTGGCCTCGTTTCGTTTATGGCTTGAAAGCTTTTAGCGTGCCTTTTCGGCCGATTATCAGCTGACCAGGCAGGCAGGCACCGAAAAAGGACAGTAAATGGCAGCTGGCACAATTTGCGGCCAATTTGCCGCCGCTCAAAGGAAACCCTTTAGGCCAACTAACCATCTCTCTCTCTCTCTCTTACTCTTCTTCCCTATGTCTCTTTCTACCCATAACATACAGATATGCGCCGCTAATGCAGACCGTTTTTCGCAAGTTCCCGGTGGCGGGCGTGCAATTGATCGATAACAGCTACGAATGCAATGAATCGTCGTGTCGTGTGGACTTGAATTTATTGGGCATCAAATCGACGGGCGTCTACAGGTGCGAAGTGTCCGGCGATGCGCCGCACTTCAAGCTATCCGAGCGCACGGCCAACATGAGCGTTGAGGGTAAGTTTTCACCAAGCCGCGTACCACGCTGCGTATACGTAATAAAATTCAATTTCAATTGTTTGTCTTAAATTAAAGTGCATGCATGCATGCATGCTTGTTTGTGTGAGTGTATGTGTGTGTGGGTGCGTATGTAATGCAAATATTTTTACCGCTATCCATCGGCAAATGCCCGTTGCGCTGCCGCACAGCATAAACCAAGTAAAATGTGTAATTTCCGTGATATTTTAATGGTAAACAACATGCAAAGAAAACTGCAAGGAACATGCACAGTGAGCGGGCGAGCGGGCTAGCGAGCGAGTGAGCGAGAGAGACAAAGAGCAAAAGCCGTTTGCATATATGCCAAAGTGGCTTGCAACAACGTGCAACGCGCAACGTGCCGCATGCAACGGCCAGCTACACGCACAGGATAAGCAGCCCGGCAGCAGGATGTATTCGCGCAAGAAACAAGCCAGCGAGCAGCCAGCGAGCTCTGAACGTTTTCATAAAATGTAACCAAGAGATGCATGTGATTCGCATCCCTAGCCACACACACACATGCACACACATAGTGCAGTTACACTGAGAGTGATGCTGGGCAGGCAACAAGAGCGCTGGAATAGCGCACAGGAATCGCGCTTGCCTGCCTCGAGTCTGCGGGTGTGCGGACCATGTGTATCTGTGTGTGTGTGTGTGTGTATATGTGTGTTGTTGTGCGCCTCTGTGATTTACGGCAGCACTTTATGCTTAAAAAGGATATCGCTAAAATGAAAAGCTCCGCTACGGAGTGCCTCCTGCCTCGTCCCTCCATGCACACACAGGATGTGTGTACGTATGTGTGTATGTGTGTGTGTGTGTGTGTGTCTGTGGCCGAGTGTGTCTGTGTAGCTCGTTTTTCCCCTTTTTATTTTCGCTTTTACTTTTGCCCACACACACACACACTTGCACACACACTCGCACGCAGCAGGATGTTTCTGCGCGCTCTGCATGTGTTTTATGATCATCTATTTTTTCGCTGATATAAAATAAATATCTTGTAGATGCGCTGCGTCGTACATGGTGTGCGTCTCGCTGCTGAAATATTTTTAAAAATTTATCAAAAGCAAATAGAGAAGTTGTTAAATAAACAACAGCAAGCAACGAGCACAACATAGACAACACAGCCTTAACGGCAAAGCAGAGGCTGAAGCAAGAGATGGAGATGGAACTGAAGCTGAAGCCAGGGCTAAGGCTGGGGTCGTTCAACAAGCTGCAAAATTTGCATGTTTCATGCACGTTTAATATTAGCTTCGCAGTTGTCACTAATGCACTTTTGCTACCTTTTATAATCTGATTATTTTATTATGTCCTCTCGCAAGTCAAATGAAAAACGATTTTTTGACATTTTCGTGAAGAGCTTCCGTAATGTTTTTTTTTTTTTTTTTCTATACATCACATTTTACCCATTAAAGGCACGACTCGACAACAATTTAAGCATTTCTTTCAATGGGACAAAAATTTAAATGAAGGTTCGCATTTTTTACTTAATAAATATTTAAATCCCGAGCTTATAAAGCTTGAAGATTCATTTAAGAGCTGTATTTTCGCTTAAGCGAGTCCTTCAATGCTTAAGGAAGCTGTTTCAGGACCAGTGACAAATGAAATTGCTTTTCATTTGCATTCATTAGTTGGCCAAGCCAACGACTTCTTAATGCACTACATAAAATTATCGTTAGCTTCATATTCTGGCACACTTTATATATATACATCGTTGTGTCTGCCTGCTTTCTTGCTGTTAACTTTGTAACTTACTTAACAAAACTTGGCAGAGCTCCAAATGATTCTTGCATACATTCGCTGAATCGAAATCGAATGAGTTTATAATATAGTAGAAACAAAAATGTATATTATATGATCTTGTTCATCTCATTCATTCGAAGTTCCTCATTATCCGCTCAATTTTAGCATAACACTTTTATTTCTTGCACCTACACTTCAGATATTCTGTTAACATTGCCATCACTATTGTTAGCAGTGTCATTCCTAGCTTTAACAGTCCTGTGGTAGAAAATTAGTCTATATAGTTGTCTCACTCTAGCACATGAGAGCAAAGACATCGATCTAGCTCATTCAAAATGTATTGATGATAAGATTCATTCGAGAATTAGAAAGCAAATAAAGTAGATAATACATAAAATGATGTGGGTTATTAATAAATTAAAAAATGTAATTAATTAATTAAAATGGCACTAAAACAAATATTGAAGCTATCTAAAAATCTCGATAGCTCAACAATAAAATTTACTGTCCTCATATCACGCTAATCAAAATTTTTGAGTGACCTAAATTCAAAAACTGTTTCAAGTGAAAGTATTCAAGCATAAATCATATGCATTCGATCATATTAAATTAAATTTATATATAAAATACTTTCTATTTAATCTAAAATCTTAAATATTTGATTCTACTTAAATATTTTCGGACACTTCAAAAGTTGTGTTTAAAGCTTAATTAATTCTTAATCGCCGTCATCTCACGCTCATCTTTTATATTTTATTATCACGCAGCTCTGCCTCAGAACAATCCGCTCATCAGCGGCTTCCACTCGATGTATCGTGAAGATGATTTCGTCCAGGTCAATTGTAGCACAGATTATTCCAGTCTGGTGACCACGATTAGCTGGTATATAAATGGCATCAAGGTGAGTGAGACGCCCACACAGACAGACACACACACAGACACACATACTCAGACAACTAAGCTGTCTATCTCATGCAGGCCAGCAAATTGGATTTGCTGCCCAGTGAAGAGACAACGATTACGGCACACGATTACAAGCTGCGGCGCATCGTCTCGCAGCTGAACTTTTATGCCAGCGAGCCGCGTTTCCAGCAGCCGCAACTGCAGCGCCTGCAACAACAGCAACAGCGACAACAACAACAGCAACATCAACAGATGAGGCAGCAGAAGCCGCTGCAGCGACGCCTCGAGCTGCGCTGTGTGGCCGAGATCGGCAGCTATCCGCAGCTGACGCGGGAGTCCACTCTGCAGGCGCTGGTCATGCGGGACGACATCGATCGCAAGAATCAGGAGCTGTACACGTCAGGTGAGTGCGCGCTCGCTTAATGCATGCGACCGCAATTACAATGCCCGGCAAAGTGATGTGCACACACAGCTGTGGCGGGCAGCTAATTAAAAATAAATACCTATCCAAATGCCAACTGACAGGCGGTTGCCTATTTGGACAATTTACAAACATAAATAAATATAATTGCACGGCATCGCTCACCTGACATCGTTTGTATTATTACCCCTGCTCTAGGTGCGCCGCGGGTCGCTCTGCTCGGCGTTCAGCTGCTGCTGGCCGCGACGACCGCAGCGGCGGCAGCCATCGGCAGCCGGTTGCTCTGCGAGCCGCTGACATTTCAATATGGCGCCCGGAAGTTGACGCGCTGCAAAATGGCGACACGRACAACTGCAGCTGCTACAACAACAACAACAATAACAACAACAGCAACAGCTGCAACTCCAATTTTTAGTTTTCACATTTAACTCGATCGGTTTATTCACAATTTTTCGTTTGTAAACTGTTTTCTAGCTTTAAGCAACTGAAATGCACGTGAGAATTTACAACTAAAACTGATATACAGTGACGAGCAAAACTGTAACACGAATTCATTGTTGCAACTTCAAGAGTCTGTATTTTTGCTTCTACTATATGGATGTTTAAGATCTTAATTTTATTTTGTTAGTATGGTATTTAGCTGTCTTACCTAAGAGTTTGAAATCATTCGGTTGGCTGGAATAATTATAAGAAATAAAAATGTAAAGAAAGTCAAATGTTACAGTTTTGCACCCGGGTCATTTTTCAACAAATGTATTTATTAATAATTTTTTAATAATTAATGCATAGCACTTTTGACTTTTTTTGCTCATTAATATCATTTGCCATCATTTTTGTGTACCGTCGCACCATTTCAGCAAAGTCGCGCACCAAATGTCCTTGTTCCTCTCCAACAGCTCTTTCATTCCATTTGGAGCCACCCATAATTCGCAAGCTGCGATTTCACATGACTCCATATATTTTCAATGATATTCATGTCTGAAGAGTATTCAGGACACTTCAGGGACTTGAATCCTTGCCATATTATCCACTTTTTGACCAAATTAGACGTGTTCTTTGAGTCATTGTTCTGCATTTTTCAGTAGTAAAACCCATATGTTCACTTAATTCTCCCAAATTCTTTTGTAAAATGATCAGGTATTGCTCATGAAACGTTATTCCATCGATTAATACCAAGAGTCCAGCACAATTTTTGTTTATTCTCCCCCAAACCAAAAGAGAGCAGCCACTGCGCTTGACAGTTTGCCTTACTGTAATGTTACAGTCAACAGACTGGACTGTAGGANATATTTTATTTTTTAATTATTACTTATTATTTACTGTTTATTTATTTCCCTACATAGAACTATTTAAATTAATTAATAAATATTTTCTAATAATTATTAGCTTAATTTATAGAGTATCTCAGAGTCTGCTATACAGCACATTTGAGAGCAGCGGGCTTTATCTATCCAAACTGACGGCCGATTCGTTTTTATTTCATTTTTAAATCGAATTCAATGAATTCAATTGCAATTCCTTTTTGCATACGCAAGTTTGTGGCTGCAAAAATGCGCGCCCGCCATCGCCGCGCTGGGTGTTTGGTGAAGCATGTGTTAATGGGGCCACCCATACGTGGCGCCCTTTCGACCGCATTCGTATACACTCCAGCAACACCCCAGATCGACCGACATACACACCCAAACACCCACACACACACATACATACAGAAACAGGCAGCCAGACACCCCCAAACACTCAGATTGCATATCAATTACAGCTCTTGACAGTTCAGGATTGATTTTTGTTTCGGTTTGCATTTAAAGCGCTTGGTCTTCATTTCCGGCTCAAATTTAATTTTTCATTTCCATTACTTTTAAAGCAATTCGGTGGGTTGCTCTTTGCTGGGCAGCCAATCGGTGTTGTTTTTTTTATATATATATGAGAAGCATTTATATAGTCCTTCAGGTAGTCTTGGAATTTATATAAAAAAATAAAGAAATATTCTTTGTTGAGTATAACAATAATGCTGTAAAGTAAAGATTCCTCTGGGAGAATTAAAGGATCCTTCGAATGCTTTGGCGTATAACTTAGAGATACAAAATACTTTCATATCTCTTATTGAAGACGGTTTGATTATGGATAAAATTTCATACTGCCGAATGCCTTAGCCCTTGAATGTCTTTAGGTATGATTCCTTCTGCAAGTATCGAACCCTGCTTCGAATGCTTTAGCATAATACTCGGAGCTAGAATTGACTCTAATGTCTCCTTGATTATAATTGTAATCAACTTAAAAGTTCACATAGGTGAAGAGGAAAGAGGGTGCCTAAGAATAATTTATAGATGCAGACTACAAAATATTTCTGAAATATTGCTTAGAGACAATTCATATATGCTTAATGACGAAAGCTTTGAATTCAGATTCTTAGAGAGAAGCTAAATAAAAAGACCCTGATGGGTTAGTTGGGGGATAACTATTCGGCATTTTCAAGAAAACTCTACGCTCTCCATCTCAGTTATCTAGGTCAAGAAGAAAAGGATTCAGGATATCAGATCTCTCATTCAATTTAGCTAAAAACCTATAATGCAATAAATCATATTTCGAATAGATTACAGATATAAATTACTTAAATTGTGCTCCTAAAAATACAAAGCCTTCAACTCTTTTCCATGGCAATGGATCCGCATTTAGCTAGCATTCATATAAACATACATCATTACATCAGTTCGTTGCGTAGGCATTCGGATACGGTTGCCTTAACTACTTTTCACAGTTGCAGGTGTTGCACGAGTAGCAGATAAACAAGGTGCTGCTGCTGCTACAACTGCCCAGCTTAAGTCGGATTACCGACAGCTCCAACACACACATACACAGAGAGAAAGAGAGAGAAAGAGAGAGAAAGAGAGAGTTCTCGTTGAGTTGAGGGAGCTGTGTGATATGCCCTGTATATACAACCTTTTTGCTGCGGTCACTGGCTCTTAATGCTCAGCAGCCTGGAGAGAGCTCTTGGCGCTGCCAATCGAAACCAATGCATGGAGTATGCTATGCCCGAGGCAGATGAGTCGCTGTCGCTGCCTCCTGTTCAATATTGATGGCATACATAAGTAGGCGCCAGCTGAGTGTAAGCAATGCCGAACGAAAGAAAATACAGACCTTATTTGCAGTATAAATGAAAAATGAAGTATGAAGCACCAGTAGCAGCAGCAGCAGCGGCGGCGGCTTTGGTGTCAGCCCAGGCAGCTAGAACAACATCAGCTAGGTAGTAAAAGGACTATTAGGCGATAATTTATTTGTAATCTGCGACGTGAATGCAACTCAGCGGGTTGCATCAGCGTGCGGCAATAAAAACGAAGACCAACAGCAGCAGCTGCAGCAGCAGGAGCAGGAGCAGGAGCTGGAGTAACAGCAGCAGCATCAACAGCAGCATCAGCGATTGCAGTCAAACAGGAAACAGGACGCATGCAGCTGAAAGGAATCATCGCGTCCCTTGGGGTCATAAAAACGACTATCGAAGCAAATGCCGGCAGTGGGCGGTGCAAATATTTAAAGACGGTAACGTTCACTTGCCGTCGTCTTTCAGTTGCAGCCCCACTGCAGTCGGGCAGCCCCGATGGCTATTTGAGGCCGGAGCATTGTGCAGAGAGTTGAGGTCGGGGGGGGCGGCTTAAAGGGTTTAAGCCAGAGAATATGGCCAAAATAGTTTTCGAATGCGGCTTACATGGCCAGCAACAACAATTGGCAATTATAATTGCTTTAATGTGCTGCTGGCTGAAGGGTTTTGCTAGTTGCTCCAAAAAACCGCAAGGATTAAGTAATTTCTGCCAGACATGCAGCAGCCACAATCAACCAAATGAACACAAAAACTTTGCCCAAGGCAGACAGACAGACACGCAGACAGACGGATCCAAAGATGGGGCTGGCACTCTAATGCACTCGTGTGTGCAATAAATTGGCATATCCTTACCACACACACACACACACATGCTCACAACTAAAAAGAGCGAGAGAGAGAGAATGGGATTTCTGTAAAATGAAGAGCTGCACACACACACACACACAGACAGACAAAGACAGAGACAGGGACAGACACAGCAATGCCAATGAGTTTTGCGTGTGCCGATGCGAGTGTATTATGCACAGGATGCGCATAAGAATGAAAATAATTTTGCACTTAATGGCAACACCCAAACTAAAGGGTAAAGAGCGACAAGGCATGCCGACTACTAAATACCCTGTAAGACATGTTAGGGGAAGTTTATTGAAAAATAAGCTTAAATAAGTATAAAAGATGATGAGCGCTTGAGAGTTATATAATATTATAAAAAAAATTTTTTTTAATTTAAGAAAACCGAACAATTTCGTATTATGTAAACTAGCTATAAATAGAAAATTATAAATATTAAAAAAAAGTGTATTTTTTTATTTATTTCAAATCAAAAATAAATAAAGGAATACACAAATTGAGTTGATTTCCTTTAGAATTAGCTCAAGTATCTTCCAAGGCTAACAAAAACCATCTCTGCTTTGTGATCACTTTCAACGTTAGTTAAGCTAAAAACATGTGAGAATCCGTGTAAGGCTTTGGAAAATGGAATAAAGCAAGTAAGTCTGGTAATCTAGTCTGGCTTACACTAGAGCCATCAACATACTGATTTCCTAAGGACATCAGCAAAACACTGAGATCAACTGAACCTTGGCAGATCATTGGGTATTTTTAAAAAGTTAGCATAGTATTCTCGTAAGCAAGTGCAAATATTCAGGAATCAAGTGTGAGAGCTCTTAAGATTCAAGAATGAAGGCAGTCCAATCTTACCCAATTAAATACGATTTTGCATACTAAATCTTGCTCCTTTTTTTAGAGGTTAAAATGAGTAGAAAAATTTTATAAAAAAGTGTGAATGTGTATTAACTAGTTTGGCATGAGACGATGATTACTATGAATATGAGTATGAAGAGTATGAACTAAAACCCAAAATACCTTAGTAAGAAATACAAAAAGCAAATATGATGGGAACTACACAACAATGAATTTTATGAATTAATTTAATGGGAATAAATAAAAATAAAATGGGTTTATACAAAATAAACTGTTTATTAGCACATTTTACTCTTATTTTACTTTTAGACTTTCTATAATATTTATAAGTAAAGCTAAGAGAAAGATGCTTTACTTTAATATTTGATTTGAATATAGCAAAGAAATGCGTGTTAAGCATAAAAGTAAAGCTCTTTATATTCTGAGAAGACAAGAAAGGAAAGTAAACAGTAAAGAAATTTATATATAATAGTTGATATTTATATATAAAAAAATGCTCTTAGAAAATCAAACTACCCGCTTATAGGGCATTAAAAGACAGTTATAAGAGCAGCAGTTGCAGCAGCAGGAGCAGGAGCAGCAGCTACAACAACAACAACGCCAGCAACAGCAGCCAACAACCAACCGCCTCCTGCTCTCCATCTAGCTATCTTCGTTCATGCCTGGGTAATATTATTTTGTGCAAAATTTCTTATTTTGCCGTGGAAACTCATAAAATT